TTAAATTAAATGCTCTCATTAAGAAGTGGTAAACAATAAGATTATCACAAATATTAATAATTCAAACCCAAACTAAAAAGAGGAAATGATATTTTAATAAATATCGACTTAATTGTTTATAATTAACTCTTTTTATTATATTTATAATTATGATCTCAAAATTATCTCATTATTATAAGTTATACCCATTTTTGAGTCATATACGAGTGCTAGAGTTATTAAGTAAGTTTTTGGAAAAATTACAATAATTTATGAAAACATTGTAAAGAAAACTTTCGGGAAATTGAATCACTGTTCATATTAATTCATCTTTTATTATTTAATTAATTATCAAACATTATTATCGATAACAGTTTTATTCTTATTAAATTTAGGTTTGTAATTAATTACATTAGCATTTCAGATTTATATGCAACCGGCACATTAAATGGCTTATTTTATTAATTACTAGTATAAGTTAAGCATTTATTTTGAAAACAATAATATTAATTTCGGAACTTTAATTTTAAGATAGTACTTCTATAATGGCATAAAAAATTTTGAATTTGTTAACTTGGATTAATTTATTAGAAAAAATATTTTGTAGCACATACTCAATTTATTATTATTATTACTACTAGTGTAGTATTAAAATAACTTTTATTTTTTTGAAATAACTTATGTTTTATTATGAAACTCTAGCATAGATATAAAAAAATAATTTCTCTGAAATACCTTTCTTTTCATTTAATTTTCAAATGAAATTTTATTGTGTTTAATGATCAATTCAATCAAACAATTTTATTTTTTTAATTATTGCAAACATTTTTAATTATATTAGCAATTAATCGTGAACCAAACAATAATATATTTCTATTTAAAAAAATATATTAAATAGTTTTAATTATCTTGACAAAATTACTGCAATTGTAAATGGCTAGTATTAATAGTTACTACATTATTATAAAGTTTCCGAATAATTACATTTAATTATGACGTGAAGTTCATTATTATTTAATTATAGATTTTGAACACTTAATAATACAAATACAGTATAATTTATGTTAGGTTTGCTTGAAATCTGGTGCCATATATAACTTTATTTTATCTTACAGTATTGTAATTATATAAACTACATTATTGCCATTTATATAATTTATATCTGGTAATAATAATGAATGCGAATTAAGGGTTTTTATCTTCTAAACTTAAATACAAATCATTTTAGTTACATAAAATAAATACACATAAGTTGCACAGTAAATATACCTGTATGGTTAACATGATTCTACTGTAGTTACAGTACAGTAGTTAACATGATCTGAATTTTAGCTTATACTATGTACACCGAAATAATTCAGACAGTACTCCTCATATTTTAATGTTGAATACATCAAATGAGCATGGTGTTCAGTAATATATTGCCGCATTATACCAATGAGAAATGCATTTGAAGTGCAGTATAATATAAAATAAATTAAAATACTATGAGATTAGTGTTTGCTTTTAAGGCAATGAACCAGAAATGACATCCAATAAGTGAGCCCTTGTTTTGAGAGACAAATTCATTTCGAAACCACTTTTTTTATTAAAACTTGAATGCAATGCAAGATATAATGCATTGATATTTAAAATAATAATAATTTTGGGGAAAAATGGGATCAAAAATGGATCGAAAATGTATTGAAAACTCACCATTTCTTTGGGTTTAAGTAATCCTTAAGATTTGATTATTTCCTCAATTATAATGAATTGGCGTTAATCTTGTGGTTGATATAAAAAACTTTGAAATATTGAAGAGATATCATGAAATGAAAGATTAAAACAAGTGATCAAAACTCGTTACACATTAGTCGACACTATGAATACATTTGGTATCATATAGTAAACCACATTATAATCCAACAATTTTTAGTTCCGTAAAGTTTTGTAACTTATTATGCGTTGAAAGCAGTGGCAGTCAGTCGGCGCTTGTCTTGTCTGGACATACATATAGTCTAACTAACGGTGCGAATAACTGTTCCCTCGATCGCTATTATAACACATACGACGCTAATGACGAGCTATACTCACATGACTTACCTGAACACCAATTGGCGATCAAGAAAATAGGTGAACACCACCACAACCTCCACATCCACTGCACCACACAATTGCCTCTATCACTGTATTACTGCATTATACTCTACTGTATGTCATATCCCATGTTATATAACTTGTGAACCGATTCTTAACTCATACGACAACTTCTCATATCTTACCTGTTATTCCATATTTACATTCAATCACTTGTGTTATTAACACACTATACATACTAAATGACTTATTTGAACATTCATACTACTCTACTAGAGATAATGTATTCATATAGTAATTCTTGAACGTATCATTTTTGATCTATTTGTTATTAATCAACTATTTGACTTCAAATTATGATTTAAAAAGGATAGTCAGGAACATCGATAATAACCACGATTCTAGTTAATTATTTAATGTTTTGAGAGGGGGTTTGTAGTTAATTTATATATTTTGTAGCATTTCTTGAGTAAAGTACTGTAGTAGGGAGTTATATTTGAACAACTTTTTAAATGCAATCAAGTTATTAAATGAATGAGTGATAAACTGATGCCAAGAATTGTTAAATAAATTTAGTAGTAAGTTGTTAAATTGTTTTATCATATTTTTACATAATAATAATTATAGACTTAGCATAGATTAGACATTATAATTAAATATAAATATTTGATAAGATTTGTATAAAAATTTTAATAATATGATGGTGTGAGGGATGAAATTAACATTGGGTTTGCAAAAAACCTTAATATGACAAATGGATTGAGATTGAGTTGTTGATGAGTACTACTGGTGGACAGCGATTAATCTACAGACTGTCCTCGACATCATTGCCTCTAATGTCAGCCCAACTAATGATTTAAAATCACAAAAACACATTCAAATGTGTCAATGCTTTTGATATTTAAAACGGTAAAATAAATTTACATTTAAAACAATAAAATATTAATAAACTTGATTTGAAAATTGAACGCAAATAAGAGTGAATATTAGAAATGCAATAAAAAAGAAAAGTTTATTTTATGAAATGTTTGGCCACTTTTCAGAGCAGAACAGACTTTATTAAGTTAGAAGAGACAGTGAAAGTGGAGCACATGTTCCCAATGTTCCCAATGCTGCCAATGCCTGCCAAACACTGCATTCATTCTCACATTTTATTCTCACTTATTATTCACTTTTCTTATTATAATTAAAATTCTACATAAAAACCAGTGGACGACGCCTTACAGCGATTGGAGAAATTGGCTAAAAAACAATACAAGTGTTCAACACAATTCATACGATCAACGCTCACGACTTATGTATAATACAATATTTTGTATGCAAACAAATGTTAATTTTGTGATTATCTGATTAAGGTTTTGTTTGTTAGAAAGGAAACACAGTTGATATCATTTAAGTTGCATTCAGAATAAGACAACAAATTTTGCCGAGAGATGAATGATCAGGTCAAAAGTTCCTTTATTTCTATGTGATTATAACAATTGCACCGATTGTTCACTTTATATGGAGTTTAGTGTCGGTTTAATTGCCAATTCTATGCTATTTAATTGCATTATGAATATTTTGTTGTAATTATAATACTCTTAATTATAATCCAAATTAATCAAGACTAAAAGTAAATTTTGTCAATTTTTAAAATTCTGAACAATTTATTTTGCTTTAAAATTTATTTACAGCACTTTGAAATAAATGATCTTGGTGATCCCTGACAAACAACAATAACTTGATTGTAATTTGTCTGCTCTTGTTATATGCCATATATTTGTGGCAAAAATGGCACAAAAGCATAATTTCTTGTATTAATAATAATGTCCAATGGATTTGAAGGTCGAAACGAGTTTCTCAACAATTTTCCTATTTTACGAAACTATTGAATACAAGTCAACGATCAAAGACTTTACGATTCGCTTCAAGAGTTTCTTAAATATATTATATTTTATTAAAAGAGAATAAAATACATTTTTTATAGATTTAAAAAGATTTTTATCAACACACATACAATGGTAATATTGTCAGAATATAACTTACTATTAGTGTAGACTTTACTGTAAATATTTATAATGCTTCAAAAAATAATATACTTAACTTTACCTTTAAAATCGATAAAATAAAATTTTAAACATGTATTATAACTTTTGATTCTTAAGTTACATTAAAAACAATATTTTAATTTCTGATCAAATTGTAACATTCATTTATAAATTAACCTCAAATGGTAACAATGATACTTTAGCTAAAATTTCCAATTACTTAATATAAGTTTTAAATTCTGTCTCTTTATAAGTATAAATTGAATAATTTATGAAATTAATGCAAATTAAAAATTCCAATTTTAATTATTTTATAGTGATTAATAGGAAATATTTGAAAATAGGGCTATAATTCAATAAATGTACAAGAGGTTTAAAACTTACACTTTATTGAAACAATTATTGTTAATTTAACCACAATGCAAATATGAAAACATAATACGATTGTTCTTTTATTATTTGACAGATTGCTGACAAATATTAAATTTACACAAAATTTTAAGCTTGTGAAATAATAATTTGAGAAAATATGCTCAGTTATTTAGTAGTCAGCATATTTTAAAATTATATTCTAATTGTAAGTATTAATCAGAATATTTATCACTATTTAGTTTTTGATCTTGCTATTTTCCGTCAGTTGTATCATTAATGACTAGTGGGCTGTCTATCCAATCAATCCTATAATACTTTTAATAATTAATTATACAATTTATTTTAAAGACCAGATAATATTATCTTTGAAAACTGGTCTTTTTTACAATTGACTTCATTTATAATTAAGTGATTAATTGAAAGAATTGTAAATTTATTCAATTTGATCAATATTAAATTCAATTATTACTGTAAATCAACAAAAATGAGAACCCAGAATCTCATGAATGATTTATTAATATTGAACATTAATTTAATTGTGATTTAATTATTTAAACGTTTCTTAAGCAGAGGTCCCATATATTTCTCGCCCAAAAGTGCGCCAATGATATCAATTCTGTCGCTTCCGAACACCATTTGTGGTCCATTTGGCAGATGAAGGACATGAGTTGGGGCACCAAATGCTCCGTAAGACAGGGCCTCTTCTGTATTCTTTCGGAGTTTGTCTTTTATTTGGTTTTGATCCAAAGAAACAATTGCTTTCTCGACAATGTCTTCACTTATTGGACAACATTTGGCTGCTTCTCGAAGGCTGTCGGGAAGTGTCACGTCTTGATGGCTCACAAACACTCGTCTCCACAGTTGTCTCGATATGTCTTCAGTAGACTTGCCTTTTGTTAACAAATCAATAGCTGTTATAAACCGTTGAGCTTTTAGTGATTTTTTAAGAACAACTTCGGGGAAATCCATGGGAACATCGATGGGAACGCCATATAACTGGCCGAGTCTTTGAATATCAGTGGGCATATACCGCATTTTGTTGGGCACATCAATGGGCGCTGTATTTCCGCTCTGTTTCAAAACCCCTCCCAATAAGAAGGGTCTCAATCGGAGAGACATTGACTGCCATTCAGGTCTATAGCGACAAAGCACTTCAAAACTGATCCAAGAATATGGAGATATGATGTCATAGAAGAGATCCACAACTATTCGTTTTGAAGACATTTAATGTTAATATAATTTGATTATTAGAGACTGAGATGATAGTTNTGTGTTTTTGTGATTTTAAATCATTAGTTGGGCTGACATTAGAGGCAATGATGTCGAGGACAGTCTGTAGATTAATCGCTGTCCACCAGTAGTACTCATCAACAACTCAATCTCAATCCATTTGTCACATTAAGGTTTTTTGCAAACCCAATGTTAATTTGATCCCTCACACCATCATATTATTAAAATTTTTATCAAAATCTTATCAAATATTTATATTTAATTATAATGTCTAATCTATGCTAAGTCTATAATTATGTAAAAATATGATAAAACAATTTAACAACTTACTACTAAATTTATTTAACAATTCTTGGCATCAATTTATCACTCATTCATTTAATAACTTGATTGCATTTAAAAAGTTGTTAAAATATAACTCCCTACTACAGTACATTACTCAAGAAATGCTACAAAATATATAAATTAACTACAAACCCCCTCTCAAAACTTTAAATAATTAACTAGAATCGTGGTTATTATCTATGTTCCTGGCTATCCTTTTTAAATCATAATTTGAAGTAAAATAGTTGATTAATAACAAATAGATCAAAAATGATACATTCAAGAATGACTATATGAATACATTATCTCTAGTAGAGTAGTATGAATGTTAAAATAAGTCATTTAGTATGTATAGTGTGTTAATAACACAAGTGATTGAATGTAAATATGGAATAACAGGTAAGATATGAGAAGTTGTCGTATGAGTTAAGAATCGGTTCACAAGTTATATAACATGG